TCAAATATAATTTCAGTTTTTTTATTTGTTGACCCACCTTAACACCACTAATGCATCCCATAACAAGTTGTATTTAGTTTTTTCTAATCTAGACTAAAGACTGAAGTGTAATAATGAAATCCTTATTATTTGATAAGTGGGTTGTGCGTCAGACTATTTCTTGGCTGTGAGTTTTCTCATTTTTGTACCAGTTAAACAAATATGATTTAGAAAAGCTGTTTTCCCCCGTGTCCAGAATTTATGCTCAGCTAACCGGTTGCCAGCTGTAGCTGGTGTTTAACAGAGCGACATGAGAGAGGTATTGATCTTCTTTGCTTATTTCTCAGCGAGACTGTGAATCAGCACATTCCCATAAAAGTTGAACATTTCCTTTGAAAGTGTTTCGACTGGAGTGAAATAGGAGTTCGGCTCCTCCTCGTCCAACTGTTACATCAGAGAGGAGTGTAGGGAGAGTACAGGCACACATTCACAGACACATGCTGGAATTTAATGAGTTGGCTTGCTCCACAAAGAGGGTTTGGGACAATAAACTCCAGTCAGGCTTCACTATAGAGGAAAAAAAAGAAACTTCCCATCAAGCTATTTCTGTAACTGTCGTCGAGGATATGATTATAAAGCATCAGCTCTACAGTAAAGAGCGCAAACATGTCAATAACCACATCTGACGTCCTCGCGGGGGGGAAAACACTCGACATTTTAATTGCTGCGTTGACTCGGAGATCTTTTTTTTTACCTCTCGCTCGAAACTTGACCCCGACGTGAAACCGCGTCGACACAGAAATGTCATGCGTGGTTTTCCGCTGCGTTCTCTCGAGTCGCAGCGATGCCCTTTACCTGCACCCACTGTCCTCCACCGTAATGAGACAGAGGCCGGTGGATTGTGTCAAATGTCTTCAGATTGTCTGCTCACACTCGACCCCACACGTCCTCGCTGTTTGACTTTTGAGCAGAATCATCGAAGGATGATCATTAATTATACGTTTTTTTTTTAAACTTATTTTTCCTTTCGAGTCCTATTTTCCGGCTGGTTCATCACAGCTGCAGGTGTTCTTGCTTCCTGTCTTACCACCATTTGTTTCTCTCTTCATAACAATTTTGTTTTCTTTAAGAGACTGTGGTCTCTGACTTTCCTCCCATCATCATCATCATCCTCTCCTCTCCTCCGCCTCTCTGCTTTATTCTCCTCCCTTCCTCGCTCTCCCCATAATCACCTCCCTCCTCCTCTCCCTTTGGCCAAGGTCCATGTTATAAATCAGGCCACAATGAGACTCTGCTTCCACCTTGCACTGGTGGAAAGATACTAAATACAGTTTGAGAATACTTGTACTTTACTGGGTTATTTCCATCGTACTACGTTTTATGGGAAATAAATATTTATTCGACAACTACAGAATTCATCAGTACATTCTTAATTTTACACACACGACATAAAATATATATTCATGTTTTTACGAGCAGCCCTATTTTATTAATTCCTCCAAAGCCACAAAAGATGAAACACACCTGCATCACACTGGGGCAGTTTTTCTGTTTATCTGTCAGTGACCTTCGCACTCTTCCTCTTCTTCTTCTTCTTCTTCTTCCTCCTTCGCCCTAGCAACTGCTGAGAGAGATGCAGCAGATGGCGAGCCGGCCCTTCGCCACCATCAACGTCGCCTTGGAGACGGACGAGGAGCCGCCTGACCTGATAGGAGGAAATGTGAAGGTGAGAGCAACCTTTTTTCTTAGAGCAATCATCACCGGCACCTCCAGACATCTACCTTTTGTCTGGACTGAGAGGGCCCCAAGCAGGGAGGCTCCATCTGTCAACGACATTGTCGCTCCTCGTCCCTCAAGTGGGAACTCTGCAGCGTTCCTCCGACTGTGACTGCGTCTGTTTTACGTCATTTATGAATCTGAACTCTTTAAGTCGATTCCATCACTTATCAGCAGCCCAAGGAGTCTAAATCGAGCTCGCTCGGGGAGGAGGAGAGTGAAAGTGTAGTGCAGGTTTAGTGAACGTAATGAGGGTCAAAGCGTCGTACATTTACCATAAAGACTGACGGCTGGCGACGATGAAAGTGGGCCGCTGATGAGTAACAGCACATTATACCAGTTATTGTGGACGAGGCAGTGAATTCCACTGGGAACGAATGCAGTTAACCCCGGAGTTAAATAAATGCAGATGACGGTAAGGAAATGTAGATTAAGACTATATTTACGAATCAGCACAGAGTTTGGTCCCAACATTGAAGATAAACGCTGGAGGCTGGAAAATAAAGAACATTAGGTGACAGCTTTTTGAAATCATGGTTCATCCCACAAAATGTTCTTGTTTTGTTGCATCGAACCATCTGTGTGTTTGAAAGACTGAAAGTGAAGGTAGCAAGTTCCTTCAATGTGGACACACAGTCCTCTGGAGCGAGGATTTTCATACAGGAGTGGGCCTGAGGACAAAGAGATATCAAGAGCAGGGACAAGTTCTCAGTGACGCACCAGTTTGATTGCAGCGTCTCGAACACTTGGACATTCATCAGTGTGATGAGAAGTACCTCAAATGAGGGAATTAATTATCACTTAAACATCATTACAAGTGAATATTAAGTTGAGCCAAAGACTCTGAAGATATAATAATTGTTAAATCACGTAATTGAAGTTTCTGTTGTTTGGTTCGAGATAATGAATTTACTTTCATTGCTTTTCTTTATTTGAAAGACTTGACCTCCAAATTGCTCAAATACAATTTTCTGGCTGGCACCTCTCAGGTTTGCAGTCATCGCTCTGTCTCTACCTCTGCAGAAGTTTTGTTTGTCTCGCTCGAAGTGGAGGTTTAAAATATAAAGTATCATCGGTAAATCCGTTTAAAAGTTGAGATTGAGTCTGAAGTTTTTTCGCTCGGTGAATTAAAACGTTAAGTTCGAGACACGCGGTGGAGAAGACTTTATTACGGGGCAGAGTTTGAGGTAGCAGCGGAGCCCAGGTTTGGTCGGAGCAGATTTAAATGCAGATATCGAGCTCCGAGGTAGAGAACATTTAAAAGTAAGAATTGTGCGGGGTTATAGAAATTGCAGTTGGGTATTCAGCAGGCGCGGAGCCGCAGGCAGGTATACCTGTGACTGCACTCTGTGATGAATGACCCCTGAATGCAGATGTGGTGCAGAATTATTGGGCTGTTTCTGCACCGTGGCTCGGGGCCCCGCGGCTCTGACAGGGGCCATGCATCTCGAGGGGCTCGGCTCCCAGCACAAGGTTACAGCCAACAAGGGTCCCGGGCCCCTCGGGAACATCAGCTGCGAATCAAACCCCTGCTCGGACAGAAGTTCTCCTGCTTTCTTCTCACCTCCTTCATTTATGTCATCTTCTTCTCCTTTCTTTCATGTCCTCTCCTCTTCTTCACCTTTTCCTCTGTCCTCTCCTCTCTTCTGTCTTCTTTTATTCTCCTCTCATGTATCCAGTTTTTCTTCTTTCTTTTATGTTCTTTGCAGTTTATGGTCTTTTCATGTCAGAAGCATTTTCATCATCAGTTCTCCTCTCTTCTTGATTTGTATCATCCTGTTTCTTCTTGGATGTGTCCTCTTGTCACCTATCCCTCTTCTTTTCTCTCTTTCCTTGACTTGTCTCTCATTTCCTTTTTTCCTCCCTCCCTCTTCCGTTATCCCAACTTTTTTTTTGTCCTTTTTTATTCTCAGTTCGTGAATTCTTCATTTCTCTTTCTTTTCTATTGTTGTGTCTTCTGTTTTCTTTCTCTTCTGTCAGCTTCAGTTATTTTCTCTTCTTTCCTCTGCTGTGCTTGTTATTATCAATCTTCTCTCCTATATTTTTCACCATTACTGTGTTTATGTTGTTTCCTTTTTTACTTTTGTCTCCGTGATTTGTCTGTTTTTAGTTTTGTCCTCTTCTTTGTGGTGTTTATCAACCCTTTTCTTTTGGTCTTCTTTCTCTCTGCGCCTCTCGAAATCTATTTTATTTTCTTCATATCTTTTTGTGTCTTCTCTTCTCTCTCGTCTCCTCTCGACATCCCTACTTCACTGTGGCGTTCTCTTTCTAATTTATTAGCCCTTTACTGATCCTATCAGCTGTCTGGGGTTTTCTGTCGCCCTTATCTGCTGGTTTGTGTGTGTGTGTGTGTGTGTTGGCTTGTGTGGCCATGTTGTGCTGTTGTGTAGAAAGAAAAGACGCTGCTCGCTCTGGAAATCAAGCGCCCACCTCCTCCTCCTCCTCCTCCGTCTCTGCTTTACCTTTTCTTCTCCCACCTCCATTCTTCTTTTCTTCCATTCTTTCCACCCTGCTCTCCTTCTCTGCATCAGGGCAGGAGCAGCCCAGGAGCAGAGATCCAATTTAGATCCTCCTCCTCAGCTTCCTGCGCCTTCAGCAGCTCAGACGGCGAACGCACACTATCCTATCTCCTCCCCGGTTCAGATTGAGCAACTCAGAGCAGGTTCTTCCCCTTGTTTCCGTGCTGTTTTATCAGGACGCTACAGTAGTGTATTAAGACCCGCGATGGGAGTATATGGGGGGCCAGGCGCTGCACAGTGAGCTGCAGATCATTAAAGTTGTTTATTGCCTCAGTGGGATGTCCAAACTTGCTCCGCCGATGAGATATTTTCACTTGGCTTCTCCCAAATGGAGCTTGCGGCCCCAGCCTCACGGGCAGATGATTACCTTTGTGACGTCTAACGCTCGGCTTTTATTTATAGAGTCTGTGCGACGGGAGAAAATTGGGACATGTGATGTAAAAAATGAAGGGCAACAGTTGTGGTTTATCTAACGTAGTTGCGGTGCACCATTATCTCCCCTCTCCACTGTGTATTGCTATAAAGAAAAGGCATTTGGCTGATTTTTAAAGCAGTTGTGGGTGTTTGATAACCTTAAATTCTGGGTTTGCAAGTGTTACAGGCAAAAAAAGAGTGATGTCAAAGTTCAGAATACCAGAGGGAGGCTCAATTATGACCGTTTCTCACAGATAGGTGCACGGCGGAATTTGTGCTTCATGAATTATTAATCCAACAGGACGACTCCATGGTTTTTTTTTTTTCGTTGAGATTCTCGTGAGCCGGAGGAGTCACGTAGCAGCGTTTTATTAATATCTAGAAGTAAATTGACTGATGTTACTTCTTTCACAGCAAGAACGGTCTTTTTTTCTATAATGTGTTTCTGTTGCTTCTCCTGGAAAGAGAAGAGTCCAGAAGTTTCAGGGAAAAAGTTTTTCAGCCTGAAAACTTCAAAGATGTTGCAGGTGGCCACCGGTGAGTCAGCGCTCATGAATAATTTTCATTTAAAGAACAGTGCTGGGGGGGGAAGTGGAAGCAGTGCTAAAGACAGAAGTTTATATATTTGCAGTAATCAGACATTAAGCTTCTCACATTTTTAGAAAGAAGCTAAATATTTTTCAGGGAGGTACCCCACAAGTGATTTATGTCAGTAGAACCAGATTTGATTCTCAAGGGAACAAACTAAATCGTCTCTTTGTTGACGATTGAGTCGCCAGTTTTTTTCTGACAGTTGACTCCACCTCTGCCCGCACCCATCGAGGAATGACTTGACGTAGTGGAATGATTTTAAAAGCGAGGAGTGTTCATTACGCAGCTCCATCAGTTAACTACACACCGAGCGATCCAAGAAAAACAAGTTTTTTAACTAATTGAACTAAGGTATCGTTGTTCCTCATAAATCCAGCGGACTCAGTTCTCTTTATTTTGAGATTCCAGGGTAGAAAATATCTGCTCTCTGTCTCACATCAAGCGCCCGGGCCTCAGGTTGAGAACCGAAATTCTAATTTAGTAAAATAATATTTACTCAAACTGTTTATCTCCATTTTTCTGCATTGTTTAGTTTCAATATGTCGCAGTATTGTGTTTATTATGAAAGCCTGACAAAACAGTGTCTTGGCAAACAGAAGCCGGCTGAATAATAACTCATCAAAGATGGCTCAGTGGAAGTGGCTGCACTCAGTGAGTCACAGCACCATGGGAGTTTGACTCGCTCTCGTCTCTGGCGGAGGGAAACTCATCGGAGGCTGCTGCTAAAGTAGAGATGAATGCAGTGGATGAAAGCGGAGCTGCATGCAGTTGCAGTGTTTGCCCACATCAGTGTGTGTGTGTGTGTGTGTGTGTGGGCTCAGCAGTGATCCTTCGTGCTGAGCTAATTACTGGAGGTAATTTAACAAAACCTTTCGCTGCTCTGCCTGGCCAGTCTAGATAACTCTCTGGAGGAGGTTGGTCTCGGGGGAGTCGAGGGGCAGGAGCCCCCAAACAGTTTTTAGTTTTTTTTTTTAAAAGCATTTGCTGAGGGATGTTATTAACAAACTGCCTCTGAAGAAGCCCACGAAAAAAAGACTCTGCCTTTAAGAAACATCTTTTACAGAAACACAGAGTTTAAAGAGAGGGATAATTGAATTTCTCAAGGTGTTTTGTTTTTACCCTTAATTACTGCACAGTCCAAAAGAAGGTGGACATGTGTGTTGAAGGAGATAAATGGTGTTGTCTTTTTTTTCTGCGCACAGTTTGTTATTGTTGTTTTTTTTTTTTGTGTGTGTGTGCCGCAAATGGAAAGTGACGTTCTCGGCTCGCGCACAGGTTGAAGTCGAGGTGGCACACAGGTTAGAATTGCTGTTCCAGTGAGCGCCCAGTGAACTTTATCACCAAACAAAGTTTGTTGAAAAGAACACTGCTCAGTCTGACAAAACCACGTCCACTTCCAAAATGTATTCGCCGAGCGCTCCCTCTCTTCAGTTGGAATATGAGATGCCGGTGTTGGAAAATGAGAAATGAGGACGTAAACAAGCGAGAACCTAAGAGCAGCTCGCAGCTGCTGCGGTGGAAATTGGACTTGGCAGACAAGTTTGATGACAGCCCTGAGCTGTAAAATTAAAAGCTGCCAGTCTTCTTCTGTATGTGTTTATATCGTTTTTTTACACAAGAGTACAGATATGTTGGTGTTATCATGGGCAGCCCTCGCTTTTTTTTTAATTGTATACTCTCCAGATGAGAAATACATTTTGCTTGAGGCAAAAACAGACGCGTGGACTGGAGCAAACTAATCCCGGCTGGACGGCTCCCGGCAAGGCCAAAGTACTTGTTTCATCTTTCCTCGTACCGAGGGATCCAGGAGCAAAATGAGCCGCGTTGTGTTATTGCACCACCTGATGTTGCATTGGAACAGTTGTCAATATCCTGACCCCAGATCTGTGTGTGAGATTAATATGTTGTGACCCGGAGGAACGGTAAGTCTGGTGGAAAACAAACTGGTAATTTGTGTAAAGTGTTCAATTAGGAAACCTCTACCTGGTTCACTTCCACCTCTGAGTTTTGTTTGTGGGATACAAACCTTTTTGACTGGAGATATAGAAGAAGTTTAATTTTCACCGTCATTTCTATGAGTTGATCAAATTGAGAAAGATTGCAGCCATTTTCTCCCCACGTCAGTCGTGGAGTCACTTAATGAGGTCGATCAATACACGATTTGAATCCTGTAATTGCCACTTTAAACAGAAGTGTTCTAGCCGACGTCCAACGCTGACGGGATTCAAAGGAGAGAAGAAGCCGAACTTCTCTCTCGTGTCAGACGGCGCTGTGGATTTCTCTGGGTGTGTTTGTCGTGTTCTTGAAGTGTGAAGTGCGGATTAGACCTCGTTAGCTGCCCCTCGATTGATAGTGTAGATTTTATGTAAAGACGGACTCAACTTCCGCTTTGTGTTTGTTGACATGAATCACCCTCTCCCCGAGTCAAAGCTCTGTGTTAATGATTTATCGTTTAATTTCCAGCGCGTCGTGGGATTCAAACGTGTGTGTCTCAGCGTGTCTGTTGCTGCTGCTGGTTTTACTGCAGTGTGGGTCTGACCCTTCACAAGCTCATTTGTCTGCATCTGAACTCTTCCCCCTCTCAGCTCTTAGAGGGGCTGTAACGCTGCTTGTGTGTGTGTGTGTGAGTCCAGGATCAACACAGCTGAAAATTGCTGCAAGCTCTGAGGCTTAATCCACACACCGACACACACACCGACACACACACACACACCGACACACACACGTGCACTGCGTACAACCTCTTCATAACCTTTTCTGTCCGAAGATGCATAAACAGCAAGTTCTACTATGCACACACACCTCAGCTCCTCTCAGCCGTGACATCTTTTTAACATTGCTGACATCATTTGTTATTAATAATGACTTTGAAACAGTTGGTTTTCATCACATTACACAATCACAGCATCAACCCTGTGGATCCCGGAACAGATCCTCTCCTCAGCTGAATCATTTATCGGACGGAGATTCTGCTGCCCGTCGTGTGCATAATCTGACAACTTCCAGAAGTGAGCGAGAAATCATTATTTTCTCATTTCCTCTCACACGATGCTGGACGTTCGGTCCGGTCGAGAAAGTTAAGAATTCATTGCATCTGGTGGACTTCAGGAGCCGATCAGTCAAATGTCATCGTCAATAAGAATTTGGTCCAACAGATAATGAGGCCTGAGAGAGAATCTGAAGCTCACACTGAGCAGGAAACGATTTCCCATCATGCAACTGATGATGCAAGGACTCACAAAGCTGTCAAGCATATAGTTTAAAAAAAAAAAACTCTTCTTCCTATAGCACTATAGGTGTCATCATGATGTCACAAAATGATGTCATACACTGCCGTGACGTATTTCACTTTTGCAACCACACAAAATAAAAGCGTCCCCCCACACACACACACACTTTTAATTTCCTTTTCTTTTTTTTTTATTATAAAATTCCTTTCCTCCGCCTCTTTCAGTATTTTTTTATAAAACTGATCTGAGGTTGGATTAAAAAAAAAGAAAAATCACTCAGCAACGTTTACCTGGATCCTCTAACCAGGATATAAAACCTGTGAAGGCTCAACAGAGGTAGATGTGTTGTTGCAAGTGTTATTGAAATAGTTCAGTTTGCCTCATGAGGTGCGTGTGTGTGTGTGTGTGTGTGTGTGTGTCTGTGTGTCTGTGTGTGTGTGTGTGTGTGTGTGTGTGTTGAACAGTGAAGATAATAGAGACTAAAATGCCCTTCTCTGTCAGATCCTACTTGAAACAGTTAGTTGCACTGATATGAATGTGAAAACACACATGCCATGAGCAGGCAGACACATCCGTGAGGGCATAAACAAATAGAAAATCCCCCGCAGACACACACACACACACACCCACCCAGAGGCTTCCAGGTCTTTGTGCCACTTCCCCAGCTCCCTGTGTGACAGCCTGTGTATCCTGCTGGTATGAAAGGTAAGCCTCAGAGAGACGGAGCGCGGAATAAATGTGTAAAATGGGTCAGAGCCTGAATATCATCACTGTCCCGCTCCCCATGTGTAGGCTTACGACGTGTGTGTCTGTGTGTGTGTGTGTGTGTGAGAGGTTGTGTGTTTGTTTATGGGATAAACAACCTTGTCAGGACCAGTAGTCCCCGTAGAGGGAATAAAGTCTGGTCCTAATGAGGTAATTTATAATCTCCAAAGATTAGAGATGAGGTTTTAATTGACTTCAGATGAAGGTTAACTGTGAATTTGTTTTGGTGAAGCAACTGAATTGAAGCCTGTGCGATGTCCTGACAAGGATGGCGTCACAAATGTGTGTGTGTGTGTGTTTTCAGGGGCGGTGACAGGAGTGTGTGAAACCGTGCCACGGCCCAGTTTTCTGTCCGGTTCAGGAACTCGACTCACCGAGCGAGAAAGAAATAGGAAGGTTATTTTGTATGCGGGCGAGGTGGCAGTGTTCTCCAGATCCTCTGTGGAGGTAAACCTATGAATACTGTACGAGGAGCGGCCACAGATTCCGCCGGTGTTTACAGGAGAGGGAAACCTCATCCCCACATATGGATGAGCTGCTGATAAACGCCAGGAAGTGGTATAGAGTGTGTTAGGCCGCCTGCAGCGACAGGAGTTCACCCGCCAGCACCACTGACACAAATCTGTGCTCCCAGAATCACCGCCGCTCGATTTCCAGTCGTGGGCCACGCTGCACACGAGCGGCATTGTCCTGAAATTGTGCACGGTGGGTTTCCTTCGTGAGGGGGGGGAGGGGGAGGGTGGGGGTTAGAGGTTGGTGAGAGAAATCCAATTTGCGCCTGCAGATCAGTATGTGAATCTCAACGGGGGGGTGGAAAACACTTTTTGGTCTCTGTTCATTTCGCTGACACACACAGGAACAGCAACACGTCTGTTTTCCACGTGTTTGAAAGAATGTGTGTTCACCAGCCTTATTTTTTTTCTTCTCTTCTCCACAGTCTGTCCCCAAACCCATCGCCCTCGAGCCGTGCTTTGGCAACAAAGCCGCCGTGCTCTCCATCTTTGTGCGGTTACCCAGGGGCACCGGTGGCATCCCTCCTCCAGGACAGTCTGGTAAGACGCAGCTGCTAGTCTCCTCACTCTCTGTCTGTCGCTCGTTGATCTGCCTCCGTCATACAAAACTTTATTAATGGTTTGATTGGATGACTGTTCTGAGCTCTGCAGTAACATCTTCTAACTTGTTCCACTCTCGTTTCTTTATTCTGTCTCATTGATTTTCTGATGATCCATCCCTCACAGTTTTAGGCCGTTCTGGCAGCACAGTAGATAAAACAGAAAATACTGCTGATTGTGTCCACAGTAGTGTTTTCTACTTTTCTAAGTGTTCAGGTTTCTCTGATGTTTCCCCACATAGTTGTCTTGGCCCAGATTTGGCCTCAATTCCACAAAACACACATAAAACTGCACAGAATGATGTTCACCAGATCTGAGCCACAGACAAACTGCACGTCAACCAAATATTCCTATAACTTGTTTTCTGCTATTTGAGCCGTATTCACCATTTACCCCATGAGCCACTTTGCGTCCACATTTTACTATTTTACTATTTTAGTGCGCTGTGATTGACAGCTGCCAGCGACTCACGACTGGACCTCGAGTGGACCTCGATCTTAACAGTGGCACAAGATGGCAGCGTTCGTATCCTGGAGAGTTTGGCTTGAGGGGACACGTCTTCAATCTTTACTTACAGTCTGTGACATTTAAGGCGGAGGCAGACAATCATCCTAAACCAAGTTGTCTTTTGTTTTTAGCAGGTCTGTGTTTTTATTTGACACAGACGCAGCGACTTGTCGGAGACTGCGGTGATTTCCTGCTCTCTCTGTTTCTCCTGATTCTTTCTCCTCCTGCGTGGAGAAACGACTGCTGCAGCTTTGTAGTTACTTCCTCGTCTGCTTCCTCCCTTCATCATCTCTCCGTCTGCACCTTGTCTTGTATATATTAAGCTCGCTGCAGCTCGTTTCTCATCCACTCTTGAGTTTTATTTCTATCTCCGTTCTCCCGTTTTCTCTCTTGTCTGGGTTTAACGTGCAGTCTGGTCTTCGCTCCCTGTTCATCCCTCTGTTCTAATCCTTCTTTCTTTCCTCACTAGTGTGATTGTGATAGTGTCCACTGTCATTGTCTCCCTCTCCTGTCTGTCCTGTATCTGTTTTCCTCTTTCTTCTTACCACGACCCTCAGGTCTGAGCACTTCTTCTGTTTCTTCCACCGTCTCCTTCAAGAACATCTTCCTTTTCTTTCTCTACATTTTTTCCCCTTGAGTTTTTTTTTAGCCTCCCACAGTTGCCGTCCCCAGACCATCCGAACGCCCCGGGCCCTTATTAATTACCACATAGTCTTTTTGTCATAACAAAACTGCCTCGACTCTCGGAGGAGTTTTCCCTCGGGCGGCTTTTGTTGAGTCCATGTCAGCCATGTTCTTACCATCCTCTCATGCCCGCGAGGGTCTTCTGTTATAATGCTTTTAACTTCTTTCCCATCTGGTCACGTTCTTTTTCGATTCCTCGGGCTGCCGTCTGTCGGCGGCGCCGCTACCTCACGGCACATCTGTTTACAGTTTAGCTCTTCCCAAAATGGCTGCTCTCCAAACAGCCAAGAGGAGGTCAACGCCTGGATCGGGTCTGATTGGTGTCTGAGCCTCGGTAGCGTGAGCGAGGAGTCGAAGGCCTGTTGCGCTTCAGCTCGTCAGACTGTGATTTTAGAGGGATGTGATCGTAGCTGCAGCTTCTCCCCTTGGAATTTCGATTTCGCCGTCGGCTATATGTTCTTGATCGGGGTAAATGCGTCCATCATCGGAGATAAATGGAGTTTATTGGAATTTCACGGCTCAGAGGGTATTAATAAATGTTAATGAAGTGCTGGGATACGGTAATGATTGCTTGCGCTACGAGGCGATGATCTCACCAACTGAGTGTGAGTGTGAGTGTTTTCACTACACACTTTTTCTAAACATGTTTTCAGTAAGAAAAATTATCTTTTTATCAAATCGTCAACATGCGTAAAACACTTTTTTAAATGTTTGTGTTTGCAGGATGCCACTAGTTTAGATTTTTAAAAACATTATCAAACATTTTGGTATAAATCTTTTTTTTTTCCAGATTTGTGACAATCAGAATATTTTAAAGAGTGAAAACTTAATATTTCACGGTTCCTAATTAATTGTGTATCTGTGATTAACCAGAGTTGATTTATTTATCTGCCAGGTTGTTTAATCTGTGACGTGTGTTATTGTTATTGTGTTACTTATTGGACAATATTACAAGTTTGCATCTGATATATCATGAATATTATAAGCTGTTATTATATGTAGTCTATGTCCTCCTCATCATTAACGACTCATTTTGTGATTAAATGACAATTGAGGTTGAAAGTTTGATTTATCTTCTTAGTTTTCATTCTTCGGGACATGAAAAGGTTTTGAAAATGGGAAATCTTGACCTTATATTTGAACTTGATATCTATATTGTATCTGTGTGTGTGCAGGACTGGCAGTGGCCAGTGCGCTGGTGGACGTCTCTCAGCAGTTGTGTGGAGGCTACAAGGAGAAGTCTGGAGGCCTGAGGAACCGCAAACAGCAGCCGACCGCACAACCATCCACCTGCATCTGACCACACCCCCGTCCTACTCCACCATTCCCAGCCAAATGCTCTCCCATTAGCCCCCTGCCTCGGCCCCCTCCCGAAGAGACTTCTGCCGGCTCCGCTCTGGCAGGGACAAGTGCATGCTGGGACACAGGACTGGGACATTGTGGCGAGGGGCAGAGTTGTCCGGTGGACTGAAACCTCGGTGGGCTTCCCCTCCCCTCTCCCCCTGCAGGAACTTTGCAGATCCCTCGAACTGAGCGACAGAAACTGGACATGGATGAGGGGGGGGCAGCAGAAGGAGGGACGGACGAAGCCGGTGCTTCCTCCGCCTTTTTCCATCTAAAAAAAACAAAACAAACAAAAACATTTACATTTGTCGACACCGCCTCATTGTTGTCAAGGCGACCACGGCTTGCTGCTAGAAGAGATCGTCATCTCGTAGTTTTCGAAGAATCCAGAGACTTTGCAGCTCTCTGTGTTGCAGAGTCATTTTACTTAAATTATTGTTGCTCATTGTTTTGTATTGTGTTATTTTGAAGGCAGGAACAAACTGGACATGTGCAGTTGTACATGCAACCCCCCGCACACACACACACACACAC